CTACACGATGTTTTCCCAGTGCTCCCTGTTCAAAGGATGCCCTGGGATCCCATTTCCCCTGGCTGCTCCATCCCTGGCTTGGTCTCAGCTCCCCCCCTCCGGGCCAGCCTCTCCGCAAGCCCCAACGGGCGGCAGCGGCAAATGCAGTGGTGCGCAGCGTGACCCAGGCGGGAGGATGAGGATGGAGGGGACTGGGAGCTCCGGTAGTTAGGCAGGTCTGGGGGCACGGCTCAGGTTGCCTGCGCCCTCCCCTGCGGGCAGGTGAGCCGCTCTGCTGGCTATTCCCACCCCTCTCCTTGCATCCCTGCGGTGGGGTTTGCCTGCTGCCATGTGCCAGGCAGCGCTGGGGCTCTCCTGGTTATTTTGGGGTGTTACCACAGCCCTTTCCCCTCGGCAGCCCAGGCTCGGGTTTTGGCCTCCCTCCCCGGCCATGCTGCTGCTCCCGCTCCCACCACCCCTTCTACAACGGCTTCTACTACTACCACATCATGAACGACAAGGGCAAGGGGCAGGAGAAAGGTATATCGGGGATTGGCGGAAAGACGGGCTGGCAGGTCGGTGCAAGGGGCTGAATTCCCCCCCTGCTGCTGGGATGGGGCTGGGACCCATCTCTTGGGGGGGGTGTGGGGCCCAAAGGAGCACGTGGGGGTGCTTGGGGGATGCTCATGGGATGCTCAGGCAGAAGAGGAGGTGGCTTGGAGGGAGGGAGTGGAGCGGCTGCAGGGATATTTGGGGGTGCTGCCCAGCCCTGGACCCTGACCCACACTTCACGCCTGCCCTCCCTGGTTTACTTCAGTGGTTTACTTCAACGGGGCCAAGCTGGTGGTGGAGACATCCAAAGACCCCATCTACAGCTCCAGTGGTGCCAATGTCACCCTGCCATGCCACTACCATTACGAGCCCGACCTGGAGGCCAAGCGCAAGATCCGCATCAAGTGGTCCAAGCTGCGGGACGACTACACCAAGGAGCAGGACGTGCTGGTGGCCATCGGCAAGACCTACATGGCCTTCGGGGACTTCCAGGGCCGTGCTCACCTCCGCCAGGCCGGCCGGCGCAAGGCCTCGCTGGTCATCAGTGATGTGCGCTTGCAGGATGATGGCAAATACCGCTGCGAGGTCATCGATGGGCTGGAGGATGAGAGCGACGTGGTGGACCTCCGGCTGCAAGGTAGGGGCACGGTGGGGACCGTGTGACCCCCTGCGCCAAGCCAGTGAGCCTGGCCTTCCCGTGGCACCCCCTCCTTGGGGGAGGTAGCAAGGCAGGAGGGTCAGGGAGCCCAATCATGGGCAGAAAGGGGCTGGGATGCTCGGTGCGATGGGGTGGTGGCTTGGGGCCGTCTGGCTGTGGGATCTCAGCACCGAGCGAGCCCAGAGCAGTCTGCCCAGCTGGGACGCTGGGGATGCTACTGTGGAGTCAGAGTTGGGGGTGACTCCGTGGCTGCAGCGTTTCCTGCCTTTACCCACCCATCTTCCTGCTGTGCTGCATCATGTGCAGCCGCCCCCTCGCCTCCCAGCTCTGGATATCCCCATGCATCTTGTGATGAACCTTGGTGGTTGGTCCAACCCCTCTTGCTCACTTGCCGTGGGGGACCTGACTCAGCCCCGGCTCCACTGCCAAGCTCAGAGCTGCGGGAATGTCCCCCTTGCTGTGCCTCTGCCCACCCCCTCGGCCCCTGGGCCCTCCCTCCCATGGTGGCTTGTCCCCACCGGTCTCTGTGACTGTGGTCCGTGGTGGTGCACATGTTCCTGTGGTCCATCCATCCCTGTGACAGTGGTCCATCCATCCCCATGTTAGTGGTCCATGTGTCTCTGCGATCCTGGCCCATATGTCCCCGGGATGCTGGGTCTTGTGTCCCCGTTCCTGTAGCCTGTGCATCCCCATGCCGATGGTCTGTCCATCCTCACAGGGGTGGCCCGTGCCTCCTGGCGACGACTACCTTCGTGTCCCCAGGACCGTGGTCCATACATCCGTGTGGTGGTCCCTGTGTCCCCGTTATCATAGTCTGTTCATCCCTGTACCTGCTGGTGCTGTCACCATGAAGGTGGTCCGCGTGTCCCCAGGACCGAGCCACTGTGTCCCTGTGCCACCAGATGTCGCTGGATGCCCGGAGCAGCCCCATCCCGGCACGCCTGAGCCTTGAGCTGTGCCACCCGGGGGTGGTCCCTGTCCCAGAGCCTGAATTTGGGATGGGTCGGGGACCCCTGCGGCTCCTGCTGGGGCCGGACTCGGGGTGGGTGAGCTGCCGGCGGAGCTGGCTGAGCACCCCGTCTGCCCCCAGGCATCGTGTTCCCCTACCAGCCTCCCCGCGGGCAGTACAGGCTCAACTTCCATGAAGCCGAGCGAGTGTGCCAGGAGCAAGGCGCCGTCCTCGCCACCTTCAACCAGCTCTTCCAGGCCTGGAGCGAGGGGCTGGACTGGTGCAACGCGGGCTG